TTGCAAATTACATATTTTTTCTTGAAAGCAACTATGTGTCTTCTTTATACCAATTGATTTGTCTCATTATTTTGTGCATAAAAGTATTAAGGTAAGATTCCCGAAAATTGAATGTTTTACAAGATATTTTGTATTTTATGTCAAAATGCTGTAACTTTCAAGTCTCATAACACGAAAAGTACTTAATAAAAAATAACTTTATTATAGTGTTTTAAAAAGCTCTTGACACCAGCTATTAGATTTTGGAATCAAAAATAGGGTGTCCCATTAAAAAAAACAAAGTTGATCTCCATATGACCTTGGCATGTACACCCTAGGTTAAATGTCATCATCGGATGTCCCCCTCCGAACCCAACAACTTTTGTAAGGGTTATTTTCGGATTGGTGACTCCCCTGACAAGATATTCAGGTACGTAATTTAAAATGGGACATCCTGTATAAATGTTTATACGTATTTGTAGGTGCAATTCAATTAAAATACCCGCAAGCTACCGAGCACGAAATTTCGGAACCAATTAAATTATGACTTCGTCATGCAACTGAAAAAATAAAAAAACTGAATGCTGCACAATAAAATATTCAATACTTTTTTTTATATTTTGTTTATATGTATAATTTATACATAATATTAGCAATTTTATGTATAAAATATTATGTATGTATATAATATTGTATATGTATGTATATGTATGTAATATTATGTATGTAATATTATTCATATTAAGTTATAATATTTAGTAATATTAAGTTTATTAATTTATATCTAACACTGTGACTAGTGCAATTTTGAAATGTACAAGACGTATCTTTAGTTTTCGTTTTTATATATACAAATTTTATTTTTATTGTGACTATTTTTTACATTATATAGTAAATAAAAAATTTTTTAAAAATTACATATTTATAATATGATAAAATATGCTTTAAATGTACTATTATTTATATTACTTATACGTACTTTACCTTTTTTGTAAATGTGTCTTTCTTAAAATAATGTAATATAATAGAAGCTTTTATTTTTTAGTAAATTTTAGTCTAATTAATCTTTCCTTTATGCTCATAAAGATACTTACATATCAAATGTCTATATAAAATATTTGAAAATAATATGTATTTTGAAAAAATGTTTCAAAAATTGTTTAGTTTAAAGGTGTAATAAAAAGTAGTAATAAAACATATCTTGATAGTAGTGTCATTAAAGCGAGATTGTCGTAATTTTTTAAAATATAAATAATAATTAATATAAACTTTCGAGAGAGAAAGAGAGAGACGTTACTTATTAAGATTACTGTTTTATTGCTTCCTTAACTTAAAACTAAACAATTTCTGTTTAAATCTTCTTAAAAAATAATATTTTTAAAGACATTTTAAATAAATATTTAAAATAGATATTTTTCTGGGTGGTATTTATAGTCCGATTTTATATTTAGAATTGTCTTATGATTTCATTCAACTAATAAAATAATGTTGCGCAACCATTTTGTTGATTAAATGAGGTTTTAAAATAATTTCGAATATAAGATTGGATTATGAACACCATTCTATATTCAATGATTTTATCTGCATTTTATCTGGATAAAAAAAGACATCCAGAAAACATTGTTGGGATCTAATTTAATCATATGTAAGATATCCCAGGGATATCTCAGGGATTTATTTTTGGATGTCCTACGGATATCTGAAAAGCGGACATTCGGATATCCCACGGTTGCCTTACGGATATCCTACGGCTTTGTACAGACATCCCAGGGATATCTGAAAATCCTTTACATTATATCTCACGGACATCCGTAGGATGAAATTTTGCTATGTGGGAGCGTTTGTATACTATATTCAAGACGAACGTAACCAATTTGCGATGTTGCATTTCTTGACAGCATATGATAGCGGAAATCCGAAATTTACAGCCTTTTATAAAACGTATATAATATTTAAATTAATGAAATACTTTAACTTTAAATATCTATACTCCGTTCAGCGAGAGAATATACTTGGTTCGGACGAAAACTCGTCCGTTTTGCGCAGGTCTTCCCTCACGGAACAGAAAGCCCCCCTCCCACTCCACATGACTGTAGCACTCTTGCAGCTTGTCAATGTCAACGCTCTCCCCACTTTGGCCGCTATATTTCTCCTATGCGCAGACCGAGGTATATTCTCTCGATGGACAACGTATACAAAATATAATTTTTCCCATTAATGTGTAAAATAAAAATATATAAACTAATAAAAATTATACATATATCATTAATAAATTTTCTATTATAATAAAATATTATGTGTATTGCAATATATAAACAAAATAAGTAACATTTTTATAATTTTAGTAGAAAAATATTTTTCCTATAAAAACATATTAACATGAGTTAATTGCAATAAAAATAAGCTTTAAGAATATTTAATATATGTAATGTATTATTAATTTATTTATATATTCTAATTTTATACATTAACGAGAAAAATTACATGTTATAAATGCATAATAATTAATTATTTTATTTATATAAATATTATATAACTTTTGTAAATAGCATTCGCAAATCTTAACTAAAAATTTTTATACGCAGAATGAGTAAAAAGAATGGATTGATGATCTTTTTTGTGGACAAGTGCATATATGTATACATATATATGTCCAGTGTGCAAATACAGTTTTCTAATAAAGCTATGTATTTCTTTACATTAATCCATTTTTCTTTAAAGGTGTTTACATGCAAAAATATCCCGCTAAAATAATTTAAAACTGAATACTTTACTTCATATTGTATGTAAAAGTGTCATTATAAAATGTATTTAAAAATATTTTTTTTGTAATTATTTCATGTAAAATACTTTGACGCAGAAGAATTAATTAACAGGAAGAATGAATTGATATAAAAGAAACACATTTTTACTTAAAAAAATATTTATGACTATCTTATCTAACACAAAAGTAATCTTGACGAAAAGTTATACTTATGTGATTATACATTTCAGAAGTATAGTTTAGTATTTTAATTATTATTATTAATTATTATTATAGTGGTCTGCCGCACCACCCTTAAGGTTTTCCACTAATGGCGCGTTAGATTTTTTCAAGTAGATCTTTGCTAGGATCCATGCGGCTCCATGGGACACAAGGAGATAAAAACACACGTAACGTTACGGACGAAATACCTAGTAACTTTTGCGGACTTCCGGTACGGATTACGGATTACGGGCTGTATGTGACGGCACTCTTACACTGGGTCCGATTTTCGACGTACGATGTACGATATCCAATAAGAGAGTTTGCTATATATAAAACAATCTTTCTTATTGGATATTGGACGTCGTACGTCGGAAGTAGGACCCAGTGTAAATCCAACATAAGCTTTGT